TTGGGCATTTTATTCTTAAGGGTTTATTGAAATGAGCTCTGGAGAGAAACTCAGCCCTGAGTGATTTGTGACCTGCAGGAACAGAGACCACAGTGTCTGAAAACTGAAGAACACTTTCCTTACTAATGGCAGTTGTTGAATGATAATTCACATGAACTGTCAGCTATATTCCGATACAACTTTTAAGGCTCTTTTTAGAAGTGGATATTGTCATGTTAGTGACACTACAAGTACAAGTACACTGTATGATGGGAACAAAGTCTAAGATATACTATCACACAAGGCAAAAATTGTAATTCTCACATATTGTAAAACTTTTGTTTTCAGGCATATGGATCAGGCTGTGATATTGTTATTTTGGCCAACGACTTTGAATGCGTGCAGATCATTCCTGGTGCTAAGCATGGGAACATCCAAGTTAGCTGTGTGGAGTGTTCTAACCAACATGGACGAGTAAGGAATTTAATTACTTTATGAAATGCCATCTTTTAAAAAAATCATTCTTTTTATCATTGTATTGGCAGCTCTTACAGATATAACATTCTGTAATTCAATCACATCAAGCAGTATTGTATAATTGCTATCACAATCAGTTTCAAAACATTTTCTTTCTTCTTGAACTTGAAAATGCCATCTTTTATTGTGGTTAGTAGTCTCAGAATATCTTTTGTCATACAAAGCTTGCTGTAATTTTTTATTAATAGAACTGGTTTATGTAGTTCTGGTTGGGAGGTGTAAAGTGATAGGTGGTATACAAATTGCAATGTACCACCAAACTGATAATCTGATCATTATTCTACAGCCAAATACACTCTCTTGAAAGATCTGCAGATCTCACAATCCTATGTGTATTGATATTTTGCCATTTGATAATTCCAGATGTTATTAAGCAGGGAAGTAGATGTTCATCATAAAAATTTTATCAGTAAATTCAATCAGTTGTTAATATCTTATATGCTATTGGTCCTATGGTTGGTGCTTTCTGTTAATTGAATAAAAGTTTATATGTTAAATGAAGGATCTTATAGTTCACTGGTTTCAACTTTAGCATATTTGCTATATAGCCTGACAATTCAGTAAGTCTGATATACTATATAGCCATTGAATAACTTCAAGAATATAGAAATGAAGTATTTTACTTATAGTAATTTAAATAATCTTAGTGTTCTGGAAATTTTTCTTTACTGAGTAGCAAATGTTACAAGAATGTAATAAATTATAGTATTCACTTTGATGAGTATAAATCATGCAAACTTATGTTGAATGATACATTATGATTCCTTTTTATGCCACTTCCTTTTTCTGGCTTGCTCCAAGCTTTAATATTTATGTAAATGTTCACTATTTGGCAATCCAGTGATAGAGGATATAGGACCTAGCATTCAAACACTGAATTTCTTGCTGTTTTTTACCCCCAGTTACTTGTTGCTTGGTTTCCTGATTTTTTTCAGTTCTTCCCCTAAGCATTGCTTAACCTTATTTTACAAAACACCAAGTCTCAGATTTCACACATTAATTGTTCATTGCTCTTCTTCCAAGTCCAAGCAAGGTAGCTCTAAAACCTGCTTAGAGAAACTGGTTGTTTGATTGTCATCAGAGATGAATTTTCATAAATGATTTATGTGCTGGGGGTAATCTCAATTAACAGATTCTCTAGGGGCATAGCTTTTAAAAATGTATGACAGTGGTGTTCATAACAATGGAAAGCAGAGCACCTGTTTCTCCTTCGTACCTGGTTGAAGGTAGAAGGTAAAATTGTCACGTCTTTGACATCTTGTCTCTCTAGCCACCCTCTTTGAGCCCGCTGCCCTGATCCTTGTGGTTTTAACTTCCACGCTTGTGACTTTGTGTTTGCCGGTTATTACCTTTCATTCCCTGATTGACATATTGAATGAGATCTTTTTTTGAAGGTGTAGGTGTTGTTCCCACAACCAAGTATTTTAAGTCCTTTCACCCTTCCCATTGTGGGTTCAAACCGTTTTCTTGGAAAGAATGTTAAAGAGTAAGTCGCAGCCTGGGACCACTTTTTGAC